AAACAAACAAACAAAAAACCTCCATCTCAGAAGTACAGCCAGAGTGTTCCTTCCAGGCAAGGTTAACAAGACTCACATACATTGGCCATGTTGTCAGGAGAGACCAGTCCCTGGGAATGAGATGGACATCAGGCTTGGTAAAGTGGAGTGGCAGTGAACGGGGATGGTCCTCAAGGAGATGCTATCCCAGTGACTAAAACCATGGGCTCAGGCATGGGAACCATTGTGAGGATGGTGCAGGACTGGGCAGGGTTTGGTTCCTCTGTGCACGTGGTCTCTATGATAAGGTGACCAGACGTCCCGCTTTTGGCGGGACAGTCCCGCTTTTGAACAATTTATCCCGCGTCCCGTGGTGTTTTAAAGAAGCCCCGATTTTTGGAAAGAATGCTCAACAAGCTAGGGAATGGCGGGAGAACGGGAAGACCAAATTTTTAATCAAGAACACCCCTCACGCCCAGGTCAATGGTGTCCCACTTTACCAATGTCAAAATCTGGTCACCTTACTCTATGGCCAACGGACTGGAAGGCACCTAGCAACTACCACCACCCCTAAAACAAAACAACCCCCCACCACTTTTCAGCTAACTGGCTTCTCAGTGTTTTGTACTTACCCTCCAGCATGTGGTCAGCATAACTGCCTTCCGTTGTGTGCTCTGATGTAATCATCCTGGGTGTTGTAAACCCTAAACTCTGTGCTGTTCATGCAGCAAGATTAGAGGCCGTAACTTAATGAGGCAGGATGAAATCTACAGGATTAGGATTCATCTGGAATTAATTTCTTTTAAAAAAAAAGATTAAATAAGGGAGCTGAGAAAGAGAGACCTGACACCACCAAGGAAGAGGAACTGGGCACACGGTCTTTGGACACTCGCTGCCCTGGGAGCCCCCTCCCCTCCTCGGCCCTCTGCCAGACCCCCGATGGCCCTGTGCTGAGAAACTCCTAGATCCCGGGGAAGACTAGTGCTGTGAGACACACGGAACTCTACGGAATGCTGGACACAGACCGGAACAGAGACAGGGCCTTCCTCCAGAGCCGAAGCAGAGAAAACTGTCCCCTAGCGCCTGTGCTCTGAGTGCGGGCGTCGAGCCGTTTGCCCGGTGATGGGCCACAGTATCTCCTTCTGTTAGGGCTGTCCTCGGTGTCAGAGCAGCATTCGATGGACGGAGTGCTGCTCTGCCCTGCAGACCAGGGATCTGAGGTGGAGAAACACTTGGTCCCGACAGGGAGTTGAACCAAGCTCTCTGCTCTGCCCCACTCTGGGGAGAAAAGAAAGAAGGCTGTCTCTCCTGTCTGTATGATTATTACCACGTGCAGAGCCAGTGGCATGAACAGAGGTGCCCATTCCCCACCCTCCAGCCCCCTCACCTGTCTTTGCTCCTCCTCTGTGATGTGGAGCAGGAGGAGGTCCTCCACAGGCTGCTGGGGTCCCCTCACCAGCCCCTCATCACTGAAACTTTGAGACCACACTGAACTCTTGCTACCCTTGGAGCCTGCACTCCCTCCTCACTCCTCCATCGGTCTACCCCCACGTCCTGAGAAGCGCCTCTAAATACTGCCACTGCCCAGCAGTGCCTGGAGTGGGGCCCTCAGCCTTGGGCCAGCCTGCCCCAGCTTGGCAGGTGTGATTTGTTCTAGGTGCCACAAAGGTGTTCCTTGTTCTAAGAGACTCTCATCCGTTTACAGTAAAACCCCAGCAGCTACTCAGATGCCTTCAGAAAGGGGCTCTGGATGGAGAGGCCCATAGGTGCCCACATAGGTGCTGGTGTGCAGGAGGCAGCCACTAGGCCTTGATGGCCACACGGTTTGAAAGGCAGTGCTCTGCCGAGCATCCTTCATGGAAGTGCCCAGAGCACCCCCAAGTGTGCTGCAGTCTTTGATGGCAGCTCTGCTGGGGCTTTCAAACAGCTGGGCACATCGGCATCGTTGGCCACACTTCCTCGGGCAGCTCTCTCACCCACCGCGGTGCCGTCTGTCAGCCGGGACCTGGGTCGCCTTGCGTGCTGCTTTGGTGAGAGAGGAATCCAGGATAACATCACACAGAGGCCAGAGTCCCTGCCGGCTGAGAGGGCACAGTGCTTGGAGCTATTCTGCTCCCCACACCCACTCGCCCCAAGGACAAGGGAGATCACAGTGTGTTCTTGGAAGGTGTCCCGTGACCTGACCCATCCCATCCTGTTCCCACGGAGTGAGGTGATCCTGGGTCGGAGCACTGTCACCAGTGCTAAGGCTGTGGCTGCATGCCTGGGTCTGCGTTCTGGGACCCACGTGGGCTGTGGCATGGCCTCTCTGTGTCTCAGTGCCCATGTGCCTGGCCACCTCACAGAGAGACAGGGAGCCCTGTGTGGAGGGGCCATGGCAGTAGATGCACACGGGCCTACAGAATCATGAGCTCACACAGGGACAGCGGTGCCCAGGCAGGGCCGTGCTGGGGAGTGAGAGTGGGGTCCAGAGGGGCTGGTGCAGGGCTTGAGGTTTAAGGGGATGATATTGTTAGGTGCTGTAGAGTTGGTTCCGACCCATAGCCACCCTATGCACAACCGAACCAAACACTGCCCTCCTCACAATCGTCCCCGGGCCGAACCCAGTGTTGCAGCCACCGTGTCAGTCCATCTTGTTGAAGCCCTTCCTTTCCCACTGCCCCTCCACTTTACCAGGCAGGATGTTCCCTTTCTTTTTAAAAAAAATCATTTTATTGGGGGCTCATGCAACTCTTAAAACAATCCATACACACATCCATTGTGTAAAGCACCCTTGCACATCTGTTACCCTCATCATTCTCAAAACACTTCCTCTCCACGTAAGCCCCTGGCATCAGCTCCTCATTTTCCCCCTCCCTCCCTGCTCCTCCCTCCCTCATGAACCATTGATAATCCATAAATTATTATTTTGTCATATCTTACACTGTCCGACCTCTCCCTTCATCCATCCTTCTGTCCATCCCCCAGGGAGGAGGATCACACAGTTTGGTGTGCTTCTTCCATGTGGGCTTTGTTGCTTTTGAGCTAGATGGCCGCTTGTTTACCTCCAAGTCTTTAAGACCCTAGACGCTATATCTTTTGATAGCCGGGCTTCATCAGCTTTCTTCACCACATTTGCTTATGCACCTGTTTTGTTTTCAGCTATTGTGTTGGGAAGGTGAGCATCATGGAATACCAGTTTAATAGAAGAAAGTATTCTTACATTGAGGGAGTACTTGAGTGGAGGCCCAATGTCCATCCGCTACTTTAATACTAAACCTATAAATATAGGCACACTTGACTCAATGGATGTATGTATGAACTGTGATAAGAAATATACGAGCCCTCAATAAAATAATTTAAAAAATATATACGCACACAAATCTATTTCTCTATTTTCATATATAAATATACTTACATATGTACATGCCTTTATTTAGACCTCTATAAATGCCTTTTGCCTCCTAGCTCTTTCCTCTATTTTCTTTTACTTTCTTCATGTCTCACTGTCAAGCTCAGCCTTCATATGGGTTTCAGTAATTCCTCTCGTTCTCTCCTGACAACATGTCCAAAGTATGGAAGACAAAGTCTCGCCATCCTTGCCTCGAAGGAGCACTCCCGCTGTACTTCTTCTGAGACAGAGATAGTTTGACAAAAGGAGGAAGCACAGGAAGGCCATTCGCAGCAAGGACAGGCTACCTCCTATTCCTAGGACAAGGAAGTAACCACAGTCCGTTCCATCATTTGCAGATACCTGTGTCTGTGAGGGGAGAGCCCCGGTCCCATAGTGGTTACTTATGTGCTGGGCTGCTAACTGCAAGGTCAGTAGTTCAAAACCACCAGTCAGCTCTCCAGGAGAAAGACAAGGCTTTCTATGCCCCTAAAGAGCTACAGTCTGGGAAACCCATAGGGGTAGTTCTACCCTGACCTCTAAGGTGGCTTATCAGTTGGAATTGACTCGATGGCAGTGAGTTTGTTTTTTTGGATACCTGTGAGGTGTCACTCTGGGCACTTGATGTAGGCAGTACATTGCCCTTTTAAGTAGAGGTTCCCAGACCAGATCCCACCATGAATTACCCTTTAGGAGGCAGCTGCCTGTAACTCCCAAAGGCCACCCTGCTGTGAGCACACCTGGGCCCACCTGGCGCCTTAGGCCTGAAGCCCCACATTGTGGTGGTAGTCCCCACTCTGGGTTGCTGGGCACCTCTAAGTGTAGAGCCACTGGGAGGGTCATGCCCTTTCGAAGACGTGCCACCTCCTCTCCCCATTCCATGTGTCCACCTGGCAGCACCTTGTGCTGACCCTGGTGAACCAGGTTCTCTCCCTGGGAGACCGTGCCCTGCCCCCCCACCCCATGCACAGGGGGTGTGGGGAGCATGCTGCTGAGCCAGCGTGGGGCTGCTCTTGAGAGATCATATGAAATTAGAGGTCACTTGGGAAGCCTGCCGCTTTCTGAATCTGGGGGCCACGGCCCGCACTGCCATTGCCTGCATGGTGGTTCCCTCGGTGTGTGCAGCAGCTGGGGGCCCTATGGCCACGATTGCTGCCCGCAGAGGAGCTGGCAGCCCTGCTGTCACTGCGTTTTCGTGGCAGGAAAGTCATGGTGGTTCCTAGGAGCTCTTGGGGGGCTCTGAAGCAGGATTACGCGGCAGTGTGCACCCGAGATAGCTGTCATAATGCTCATTTCGGACATCTCTGCATCCTTTCCAGCCGTCACAACCACCAGCCAGCCTGCCTTCGGCACAGGGTGGAAATCTAGAAATCCACCCCCCCCCCCAGGTGTTTGCAACGTTGTTTTTTTTTTTTTTTAAAGATCCTTAAAAAACCTCTGTGATTGAAAAGGCAGCTTCCTGCGCTGCGAGCCTCTCTCCTGCGCCTGCTTCTGAGGCTGGCTGCTTCCAGAAAGACTGCAATGCAGCGGTGACCAGCGTCCCCGGGACTGTGGACCTGCCCACGCTGGAGCCCCCTGCTCCTGTCCCCGACTGCTGACCCACACTGGGCGGGCAGGCTGGGGACCGACTGAACTGTAGGCAGCGGCGGAGGGTGCTGGGGCTGGCACTGGCATGCTGTGCTGCAGCACTGCGAGGTCCCCGCTGCAGTGGGCTTCCCGGGAACGAGGGACACAAGGTACTGCCGCGGCTGGCTTCCTACTCGGAGTATGTGTAGAGAGAGGGTGGGTGTTCCGAAGGTCAGGGACTAGAGGGATTTCATAATCTTGGGGGTGGGGGGTTGTTTCTGAGGACCCGACGGACAGACAGACAGCTTCTGCACCTGACAAGTGAAAACTTTCCTTTCTTGCTAGCGACAAATTTGACACCCGAAGAGCTGTCTTAATGAGCATTGACAAATGCCCCGAGTGCATTCTTGGGGGCAAGGTTGTTTAAAGGGATGCAGATGGCCGTGCGGTGCGTGTGCTTTGACCAAGCGAATGAATGACAGTTTCGTCTTGCCAGCACGGCAGGCGCGTGGGGTTCTACAAAATGTCAGCTACGGGGGCGGTGAGGTCTGGTTCCCACCTCCGTCCGTCTGTCCGTCTGCATGCCGTCCTCACTTTCGGTGCTGCCAGATGGGGGCCTGCATCAAACCCCTCTTTATTTAAATGGGAAACAGCCACTGGAGCCCAACTTTATGTTGCATTTAAAGGTGGTAATTTATACGACTGGTGCCAAGAAATGGGATGTCAGGGTTACCGTGGCAACTGCATGCCTTCTTGGAGCTTGTGAATGGGTTCAGAGCGGCAGGCAGCTGGAGTGAGATTATCCAGCTGAGAGCTCTCGGCCACGAGGAGGGATGGTCAAGCCTGTGCTGGCTGCCACAGTCCCCGCTCGCCCCCCCCTTGACTGGAATCAGCTCTCCCGTGCCATCTGCCTGGGCATCTGGGTGACACGCTGACACCTGTGGTGCGATATGGATGGGCCAGGGGTGGGGCGCGTGGCCACAGCCCACCTTGTGCTGGTGTGGGCCACCTAAACTGGGAGTTCTCAGTCCATCCCCCTTCCCCGCAAAGGCTCCCACAGAAGGCCAGCTTCCCAGGGGAAGCTAAGGGGGGGAAAGGAAGCCCATGTTCAAATTGCCAGCCTTGTAAGAATCATGAATAAAGACCAACTGTTTATAAGGAACCCTGGTGCTGCCAGGGATTAAGAATTAGACTGCTAACCTCAAGGTTGGTGGTTCAATCTGCCCACCCCACCCCCAGCTGTTCCCCTGGAGAAAGCAGAGGTGGTCTGCACCTGTGAAGACGGATTGTCTCAGAGACCCTGGATAGGTCAGGACACGTTGAGACTGACTGCATAGCAGCTGAGAAGCACTGGTTGTAGTCTCTCATGGAAAGCCAGCCCCCCCCCCCCCCCCGTGGTATAATTGCAGGGGGTGTGTGGGGTGGTGGTGCTGGAATGTCTGGTTGGTGACATTTGGAAATGCAGCTACACAGCCTGAGTGCAGAGGAGGCCTGGGGTTAGAGTTGGGGGCTGGTCTGGGCCTGAGATCTGGCTCTGAGGGCTGGGGTTAGACCTGGCACTAAGGGCTGGGGATGGGATCTCAGGGCTAGAGACTGGGTTGGGGCTGGGGGCCTGGAAGTTGCCTGTAACCCCAGCCAAGAGTCCTGGCTGCAGAGGCAGTCCCTGGAGCCAGAACGCTTTCCCACGTGTGTGCACTGCAGTCTCTTGGTTAATGAGTATTCCAGTCATGTAGTTAAACTCTCTCAGTCCCTGGGCAGTGCACACAGTTGGACTTGCAGCTATAAGCCAGAACTTTGGTGGTTCAGAACCACCCAGCTGCGCCTTGGACAGCAGTGCTGTCTGCCTCCGAGAGATCACGGGCTGAAACCATTCAAGGTGGCTTGGGCTCCCCTCCCTGGGTGCACATGAGCGGCCCTATTGTCACACTCCTGCAGCCTTGAAGTCCTAATTCTGTCCTTTGATTTTGCAGATGAGGAAGCTGAGGCCCAAAGAAGTTATGCCACTTGGTTAAGGTCCCACAGCTGGTCAGAACCAGATCTTGGATCAGAAGCCTGGTTCCGGGCCGCTCCTGGCTCCCTGCTCTCCTAAGGCCACCAGCCCAGCAGAAGAGGTTTGTGTCTGAGTCCCGAATGCCTTTGGTTAGGAGAGTCTGTGGTAACAACAGGGGTGGGACTCTGCAACGTAGAATTCAGACACCTCATCTTCTCGTCTGCTCTCTGCAGTCATTTATCGAATGTCCACACAGTGTGCTGGAGACAGCCCAGGGACCCTCAGGTGACATGCGGTGGTGGGTGTGGCCCCAGACCTGGCCCTGCATGTTGGCCTGCAGCCTGGCCCCGGTGATCACACAGCAGTGAGCCCAATGAAGCAAGGTCACCATACTGTATTTATGTGGGAAAGACAGAGAAATATTCAGAAGGGGCTCAACTTCCAACCCAGACCCACTGCCATTGAGTAGATTCTGACTCCTCGGCGCCCTGGTGGTGTAGTAGTTACCTGTTTGGCTGCAGACTGCAAGGTCGGCAGTCAGAGCCACAGCTCCTCCTCAGGAGAAGGATGGGGCTTTCTACTTTCTTACAAAGTGATAGCCCCAGAGAGGAGCTGACACCAAAGGCTCAAGCAGAAAGAAAATGTTTTTGAAAAGGATGATGGCGACGTATGTACAAATGTGCTTGATACAGTGGATGTACGGATTTTTCTAAGAGCTGTAAGAGTCCCCAATAAAATTATTTATTAAAAAAGAGAGGTATTATCTCAGAAACCCACAGGGGCAATTCTACCCTGTCCTATAGGGTCGCTATGAGTCGGCACTGACTAGATGGCAGAGAGTGTTTTGAGTGACCCCATAGGACGGAGGAGAACTGCCTGTCGGGTTTCCAAGGCTGTGAACCATTACAGACGCAGACAGCCTCATCTTTATCTTGCAGAACTGCTACTGGGTTTGAACTGCTGACCTTGCAGTTAGCAGCTCAACCCACTATGCCACCAAGGCTCTTTAAAACTCAGAAGGGTTGATAGAAATTGATTACTGGCCAGATACCAGTTAACCCAAATCTTCACATTGCCATGCCCTGAGATTGCGATCTTATGAGCATGGGGGAGTCTGTTGTCCTCAACGGCCTCAGTAGCCTCTCCCATCCTACATGTTCTTACAAGGGACCTGGACGGAGAGGAGAATCTTGTCCCCTCCCTCTGCACTGGGCTGGGTTGGCAGCTGCCTCACCTATGATGCTGGGTGACTTCCAGCCTAAGTTTTCAAAGGGCATAGGTTTTGTCTCGGCTTCACTCTTTGGTTGGGGGGTGGGGCACACCCACTCTGGAGAAGTCTTCCCCAAGCTGTGAAGCCTAGACTTGTTCTGCTGCCCACCCCCGTGGTCCTCATAGAACAGGCCTGAGGCCCCAGTCGGCAGCCCGGAAGTACGGGTGAATAACCCTGCCACTGGGTCTAGCTTTCCTGCCTTCCATGTGAGGCCCCAGACTCACACAGAGACGAGCCTCCTGCCGGACCCTGCCCCAATTCCTGGCCCGAAGAATCCCTGGACGTGAAAGTGCGCACCATCACCACCGCCTAGTTAAAGAGCATTTCCATCACCCCGAATGGCAGGCTCTGCATCTAGTTCATAGAAGTCCCTGCGTGGCACACGTGGTGAAGCGCTTTGTGGTGCACCAAAAGCTGGGCAGTTCCAACCCACCTCCTGGAGCAATGGAAGAAAGGTCTGGTGATCTGCTTCCGTAAGGATGGAAGCCAGGAACCCCCAGGGCTCTACACTCTACACATGGCTCCCGTGAGCTGCATTCTTGACAGCCACCATCGCAACAAAATCTGATTTACTCAATGAGCGCATCGTAAGGGGCGTTAGGCTTGGAGTTGGGGTGTGTGTGCAGATGTTGCCCGGCCGTGCAGGGTGGCTCGGGCCCAGCGGGCAGTCCGTGGGAGCTTGTGAGCTCATGGCTTCACCTGGGAGAGGGAAGGTGAGAAGTGGGTGGTGCTGGGCTGGCTCCAACACTGGCCAAGTGTCTGCATGCAGACGGGGCTCAGGCGGAGCCTTTGATGAGACATGAACTTTCAGTGAGGCACAGAATCCGCTGCAGGCAGGAAGGGACCCCCCTGCAGATCAGACGGTGCCTTGGTGTGATTAGCAAGCCTTGAGCTCTGTGCTGTGCGTGTGTGTGCACGCGCGCACCCACACGCTCCCATTCCTTCATCTATCTGTACAACCTCCTTTCTCTCTCTGTCTCTCTCTGTCACATACACAAACATACCCTGCCCACCCTCGCCCTACTCTCTCATTCCTTTATAACTACAAGGCCTTCTCTTCCCCCGACAGGGAAGGAGGGAGCAGCCCCTGGGCCTTGCAGCTCAGTAGGCATTGGGCTGACTGGGGGGCAATTCAGGACACAATGCACAGACATTTCTAGTTGGCCTGTGTAGAGTGCCCGGGGTAAACATATTGAATTCCCTCTTCACAGAGTCCCGCATCTTAGCGGCTGCCCTTCAGAGCAGGACGGGGTTCCCTTTTTGGTCAAGGTGAGACAGACTTGTCTTGATCTGAGGAGTGCAGTCTGCTGGATACCCTTCACTCAGTCTGGCCTCGGAGGGAGGCGCCTCAGGAGAGAGTTTGGGCCCGCCTCCCTCCTTAGTTCAGATGAGAGAAAATCCCCAAGGCTGTGCACGACAGATGAGGACCCTCCATTAATGTATGGCCAGTGAAGTGGGCTCTGGCAATGAACTAAGACCAACCTCAACAGCGGGGGCTCGTGAAAAGCCCTCTTTGGTTTGGGAGGGAAAAAAACAACAGAAGGAAGAACAGGATCTTGACTTGTCAAAACCAGACGTGACAGTCAATTGAAAACGAAGCCTTGCGTTGCTTCCAGGAGCCCAGCAGATGTCCACGGGGCATTTCACAGGCATTCAGCTTTGCGCTTCCTTGTGAGTGTCTGCAGCCGGGGAGGGGTGGGGGGGGCAGAGGTGGGAAGTAGCCCCCTGAAGTGCCCCCATGCTCAGCTATGGGCCACCTATGCACTGCTGTATATAGCACTGAAATAAGTTTCCCTAGGGCACAGCAGGTTCAGTGTCCCCAGAACACAGCAGGCACAGAAAGACTTGGGATGGGGCTGGACTGGCCACCTGCAGCGGAGGGTGTTCCTCTGGGATTGCTGAAGATGAAAATTGTGAAAAGCCCAATCTTCAAGAACCACCCTGGTTCTGCTGCTCTGCCCCAGCCCACCTGGTCTCTGATGGGGAAATCCAGCCCGAGGGCACTTCAGTGCACCTGCCCATCCTGTCCTCCCACCTTTGAAGGCCAGCTCCCACCCCCAGCCAGGGGCGGCTGGGCCCTGCCCACGGGGTGGGAATTGTCCCTAGCTTAGACCCTTAGATCTAAATCTTAAGTTCCTGGAAAATTCCCTTCTCCCAGCTGGGCTTCTGGAAACATCTAAGAATGGGGGTTGGTTTTTTCATTCATCCATGCACATGGTGTGGTTTCTTACAACCTGGAACTTCAAACCTTGAGGAACAAATTTATTCTGGGCTTTCAAACTTACTCATTTAAAAATTCCGTGTATGGTATAATGTTTACATTGAACAAGACTTTCAAGAGATGAGCTATTGAAAACCGGCTCCTGCATCACCTTTAATAGGCTAATTTTGAAATGTAATTTAATGCCTGGAAGGCATTTAGTGTGCAGGTAGAATCTGGTGCTTGGAAAAGAAGCACAGAGAGAAATGTATGTTTCTCACAAACGCATTTCCTAAACTGGTTAGCAGTCCACTTAATTCAGTTAATATTTACCAAGCACTATGATCGTACAATGCCCTGGAAGTGCAATGCAGTGGGTTTTCTAAACAGTCGCTAAAATAAGATGTTGACTCGATGTTTAATTCGGAGCCACTTTTGAAACCTTTGCTGTTTTTCATGGGAGTTACTTTCCTGAACAAAACTGAACATTCTAGAAAGTAGAAAGCTCACTGTGCCAGTTTGCACATCCCTTCTCGTGAGACCTTCCCTGCTGCCCAATAATATGTCACTGCTGCCCCCACCAAGCACACCCTTGTGCTACACACATGTAGCTACCGTGCCATGTCCCCTGCTCTGGAAGGAGAGGCCCCTGGCTGTCTTTTCCCCTTCTTGCATGGCGTCCTTCCCTCCATCCCCTAAAAATCCAATTCACTGCCTTGAGTCCAGTCTAACTTATAGACCCCATGGGACAGTGCTGAACTGCCCCCTCTGAGAAGATAACTCTGCAGGAGTTGAGTTCCACTTTCTCCTGAGGAGGGGCTGGTGTCCCTGAGGTTAGCCCAGGGCATAACCGTAGGGCTCCTTTGTCCCTCCATAGACACAGTCCTTCACATTTCTCTCTCTCTCCCTTTTTTAAAAAATATATTTTAATCGTTTTATTAGGGGCTCATACAATTCGTATTGCAATCCATACATACATCAATTGTGTAAAGCACATTTGTACATTCATTGCCCTCATCATTCTCAAAACATTTGCTCTCCACTCATTTCTCTTTCTTGTCTGTGAGCAAATGTCTTGTGGGGGAGAACACGTTTAAATGGCCCTTCAGCTCCAAGAAGGGAGATCATTGAGGAGAACAAAGTCAGGGAGAGAAGGAGGAACACCCAGCCTAGTGCCACTGCCGCCGCCGCTGAGAGACAAGTGTCCAAACTGAAAGCACTGCTGACGGGCAGGCATCTTTACCAGGCATGTCTGAGACTGTGGTCCACCCTCTGGGACTCAGCAGGGCCTGTGTACTGGGTGACCCTGGGCACTGTGAAGGCCCCATGCATGAGAGGTGGGTGTTGGCCTAACAAATCCACCAGGCAGTCCGCTCACTGGTACTGTCTTTCCAGTCCTCATGGCTCATAGAATCTCCTGGATGTCTTTACAGCATGGCTCTAGCCTATGTGCAGAGATTTATAGGAATATTATTCCAGTAGGAAGGCTTATTAATATAACCATTTTATTTGTATAAAATCTGTTGACAGTAGAATACTTTATGTTCAAAATACTGATTAATTTTTTTTTAAACTAAGAGATTTGGTGTTGCATAGCAAATCTCTTACTTAAATTCACTGAGTAAACTGCAGTAAATCATGACTATATTAA